AATATGCAATATATATTTCAATAATATATAGATTTAAAATGATTTCATTTGAATTTTTAGTTTATAATCACATGTATACTATATGATATGTAAACTAAATTAATGAAAATAAAAAAAATAATATATATATATATATATATAATAGTTTATATAGACACCATAACAACTGTTATATTTGTTATGACCTATTAACAAAATGACAAGTGTAAAGCTCTCTTGCTGTTTTCTTTAGTCCATGCTATTCTATCTCATAGTAGATGTGTATTTAGGAGTATGAACTGTATTTACAGCCAACAGTTACATGGAGACAGTCAGAAAGGTCATCGGCTAAAACCTTAAAACATAAACAGCCACCTGCATCACCTACAATTTCAAGTGTTGAGATTCTGGCCAGAACATAAACTCTGCAATGTGTGTATCTGGCCCTGCTTTGGGTAAATAATAGTTATTTGTTCATAGTTATTTGGTGTTAATTAAAGCATACTTAGTACTTTCACCTCATTCCAAGTAGGCTATGTGGGGTAGTACATATAGACTGTCCTAGTAGTTCCTGGAGGCATGAATTGCTTTCTGCAGTGGCAAATGATGAAACTGCAGAACATCTGCCCTTCCATTTCTTTCTTCCTCCTCTCGAATCATACTGTAAGTGTCTTTGGAATTGAATTGGGAAAGTGTCAGCAATATTCTTTACACTCCTCCACTCTTTTCTACTTGTTACAGCTGAGCACAGCATGGAGGCAGAGTGAGCTCTGGCATCAGTTTACACGAGAAAATGCCTCTGTCTTTTAATTTCCGATTTTATCTGTTGATTAATAATTAGTTGAGCATTGCAGAAATCAAATTCTCTGATGTTCGCTGTGCAACAAGCTGGAATGCCTTTATCTTGACATGCTTCACACACAACAGTGTCCTAGAATGAAAAGAAAAAAATATTCCTAGCATTAATAGCAAACAGCATTCAAAGAGGAAGTGCAAATCTTGGATGATTGGTTGCTCAGCAACAACAGTAGATATTGGCTTTTAAAACCCTCGTGTGTGGGAGCGCTAATCCACAGCTCTCCAGCTCCTGAATGGAGGGGGAAGTAATATCTGCTTCTTAGTGAAATGAAAAGCTTTTCCCTCTTCTTTTTAGACAAACACTTCTTGAGAAGAATTAGCCGGATGGAGCTTGCTCTACCGCTGTGATGAGCAGTTACTTCAAGTGTTTTCAGCCTAAGATTTAAGCCAATTGGAGCTCAAAATAGACCTGCTTTTAAGTCATAAAAAGTGGCGGCATTTGTCCAATAAATGTGTTGTACCTAGTTTTATCGCCTTTGCTTATTATACTGAAAGAAGAAGCGGAAGCTCTAAAATAATATACAGGTAAAGATTATAAAGTAATTTCAGCTCGAATCAATATGTTATCTCCACACATTTATTTGAGTAGCCACCTAATGCGTGGGATCCAGTAGGCCTACAGTCATGACGTGAGATGCAGGCAGTGGAATGGGGAAAAATGGGACGCGTTTTTAACAGTGGTGTAATGTACTTAACAGTAGGCTACTTAAGTATTTTTTTGGGAGTATCTGTACTTTACTTGAGTTTTTATATTTCAGCCAACTTTTACTTTTACTCCACTACATTTCCTAATTAAAATGTATACTTTTACTCCGATACATTTTCCCGAAGCACATTCGTTACTTAACTACAAAATAGTCAGAAGTCAGAAGAACACGGACTGCAGGAAAGCAGGTTTGACGAATCAGTGGTCTGGCGTTTGCAAGTTAGACTCCTAAAAAACACCTTCAGTGTTGCCAACTTAGCAACTTTATTGCTAGATTTAGCAACTTTTTCTTCCAAAAGCACCTAGCAAAAATCTAGCTATTTTTAAATCGGTTGAACGATTCAGTGATTCACTCAGTAACACGCTGGCTGCGTCCGAAACCGCCTACTCAATTAGTAGGTATAATTTCAATAAGTACTTACTTAACGAGCGCTAAAAGAGTAGGTACTCTACAGCCAAATGTTGAAGAAACAGCTGCCCTTTTATTGTGATTGTAGTATAACCAATAAATTTTGGGTTGATTTAAATTTTTATATTTTTAACCCCACTAATATGACCCACATTTTAATCCTTAAATATATTATTTTTCCTTACGAAACCCCAAAATCGTTATCTCTTGAATATGTTGTTACTTTATTTTATGTGCTAAATTTTCATTCCATAAGCAAAACCGGCTTAAATCTCCTGTTTTCCTCTTTTTCTTGTTGTTTATTAGTCTATTAAAACTCAAAATTCCAGGCATTCTAAATTGTAGACGGCAAAATTGCTTCTGTATGCTTTTTATATTTAATATAGTTTTAATCTATATCACGCAAAGAGTACCGTTTCTGCAGATATCAGCATGATAACACATTTAATAATCATTTTATACAAGTTCAGTAACAAAGCTTTATTCAAACATGTTGTTCTAACAAACATGTATTTACAGGCGGTGAATCCACATCCTACTGCCATCTCAACACCGCTGTGCCAGTTCTGCAGCTGACCACCGTGTCCACCTTCACCTCTCTCTTGTCGTCAATCACGACCCTCTCTGCTGCAGTCAGACTGAATCTGATCATGGATGGGAAAGGGACATCGAGGGTAAGCAGAAGGTTACTGGTTCAATCTCTGCAGTCGTCACCACTGGTTGTGTCCTAGAGCAATGCTCTTTACTCCAGGTTGCTGCAGAGGGATTTAGGGTCCCTGTAATAAGAGCACTGTAAGTCACTTCGGATAAAAGTGTCTGACAAATGAATAAATGTAAATGTGATTTTTGTAAATCCTTTTTTGTGTCTTGGGCACAAACGCTCAATAAAGCTGCTTATTTCTTAAAGTTTGTTTCTTCAAGGTACTACTATAATATAAATGCATGCATATATTTCATACAGTTTCTTTTTGGGGGGTTTAAAGGGTTAGAGAGACCACAGCAACATCCGGTCCAGATGAGGCAGTAAGAGGTGGAGAGATGGAGCGTCTCATCCATGGCACTGGACCATTTCCAGGATACTGATGTGGACTTCTCCATCCTCACTGCTCACACCAGTCTGCAGAAATTTCAGATCCTGCAAAGATGCACAAACACAATACAAAAGCAGTCATTTTAACAGCACAATGTCATTTGATTTCTGTATTAGAAGTAACAGAATGATCTTACTTTATATTTTTGTTTCAGGTTTTCCCTTTTTTTTCCCACAAATGCCTCCGTCACCTTGCCTTGCAGGTCCTGCTCCACCACAAAAGATCTGCAGCAAATGCACAG